CCCTCACCCATTATCTTGGTTACAGGCAAGATGAGAGAGCAGAAAAGGTACTGCTTTAGAAGAAATCCCTATGTTTTATCAGACTGGAGAGAAAAAGTTAATTCAGGGCTATGAGTGATTACACCATTCACATAGTTATGTAGCTAGAACATGGTGGGAGGTCTGTTAGGTGAAGTTATGAAGTTTGCATTTTATTTCTCTTTGAACTTGGGTTTCAAGGTACTAGAACTTTTTTGCAGAACTAGGTTACACTATTTTTATTAGCCCAACAAAGGAGTGCTTATTGAGCAGATGCATTTAATGGCTAATTTTCATCAATCTTGTCCCTTTCCGATTGAATTGTTTTGTCCAGTTGAATTCATGTGTGACTAGCTAAGTTCAGTCTTTCTTGGAGTAGAATGACACATACAAGCTCATCTTTTTCAAGTTTACCTTTATTTAACTTAATGAGCTCCATTTAACAAAGAAGAGTCGCTTTGGAGAAGTCTTCATGGCACACTTATTTGACTTCAGGCCACCTTCAAAGCACAGTTTGCAATGAAATAAATAGGAGCTGCTATGTAAATTATCAGACCAGCTCTGTGTCTCTTACTCAAGGGCCTTCCCCTACCCACAAGTTCTGTGTATGTGTGTCTGTCTGTGTGTGGTGATTAACATGTCTGATTTGAATTTTCAACTTACTCCAAGTGCCACAATTTTGTTCACTGTTGTTCTTTTATTTTTTAATTATTGCAAGCCATTGGAGTGTTCAGTTATGAGCATGACAGATAAAGAAGCTGAAATTGTCTGTCCCCAGCATTCTCATCTTTGAACTCTTTTTGAATCACAACCAGGCAAGGCATTTATAGAATTTGTTGGGGCCAAAAAAAAGAGAGAGAGAGAAATGAGTAGCAGTTCAATAGTAAGATGGGATTTAAACTACAAAGGCAACATTTTTAGAAATCTTAGTCTAAAGTAATGTTTAAAACATAGTCAATATTCCATTAAGAGTAGATTTGGGGACTTCAGTGGAAAATCAACTTAGTCTTGACTGTGGCTTATTTAGCATGACTTTTCAAGATGTTTTTTTCTAACAGTATTGGTTTTCCTCACTGCACAAAAATTTCTAAAATGTGAATGAACTTCCATCCGTCAGTTTTCTTTCATCAATTTTGGCTGTATATATATGTATTACCTCCCGTTTCACTGATAAAATGGATTTTGGTACTTATTAATAGGAAAGTAGAAAACAGAACTGTCTCTCTCCTTCTCAGAGTGTGATTAGTACATTTAAACTGACCATTAATCCATATGGTATATGAAATTCATTCATTCAATCAATAAATATTTATTTCATGCCAGGTACTATTCTAGGCACTGGGGATATGGCAATCAACAAAGCAAAGGAACTTTTTCCATCTGTCATGGAGCTTACACTCTAGTTTGGGGAAACAAATAATAAACAAATAAATAAGTAAAAAATCTAGTGTAAGAGAGGGTGAAATGCTATGGAAAAAAGGCAAGCCAGGAAAGCATATAGGGTTTGGTGGGGCGGGGCAGGGCAGGGGGTGGTTAACTAAGGTAGACGATGACATTTGAGCAAGGGCCTAAAGGAAATGAGGGAGCAAGCCAGGTAGATATCTGGGGAAGAACATTCCAGACAGAGGAAACAGTATGTGCAAAAGCCCTGAAGTGGGAACATGCCTGTGATGTTTGAGGAGGAATAGGTCAGAAAGTATGCATATACCTATAACAGAGATTTCCTGAGCCTCAAATCTCAAGAAGTCACTCAGTCTAGGACTTGAGAAAGTCCTTGCCACGGTCCTTGACTTGGGTTAATAACAGATCTAAGGCAGTGATGACCCTGGTTCTGGGTCCATCACTGCCACCATCTCCAACCTCCAGCATGTACCTGAATTTAACACTTTGGCATTTAATCCCTGGATAGGCTGTGGTTCCTATCCAGCATTGCAAAAAAACTGGAATGAGGGATCTGACACCCATTTAACCATCAACATCCCCATTAAATTAGCCATGAGAACCAGTGGTTCGGTTAGTAAACCCAAGGGAGTGATGGGGTCAAGACTGAAGTCTGATCTCTCTCATAGAGCATTCACATCACACAGAATGCACACGTCCTAGAGATACAAACCGTTGGTTTGATGAGAAATTGTGACTAAAAGAAAGTAAACAAACCAGGAGTGTACCTTGCTTGAAATAAAACTAATATATGAAAGTTTGGTTTCTTTTTAAAAAGCTAAACTGGAGATTTATGAAAAAAAAAAAAAAGATTTATCCCACACCATTTTTAAATAGCAAGTTTTCTCCAGATTCATGACCAAAAGTCAAGCATACCTGCTCTGAAAGACAAATACTAAAGTACAAATTAAAAACAGGCACATGGTAGTTCAGTAATTTTACCACTGAATACACAGAATATAATGTCTTTCAAGCATACCTGCTCTGAAAGACAAATACTAAAGTACAAATTAAAAACAGGCACATGGTAGTTCAGTAATTTTACCACTGAATACACAGAATATAATGTCTTTCAAGCATACCTGCTCTGAAAGACAAATACTAAAGTACAAATTAAAAACAGGCACATGGTAGTTCAGTAATTTTACCACTGAATACACAGAATATAATGGTCTCTTTAACTTGGCATGCTCAGCCCAAAATAAGTGAGCTCACAATCAAAAATTATAGAAATACTATTAATTATCAGACTCTTACAATAATAGCAGCAAATGACATTGTTTTCTTCATAATTATCATATCTGAAACTGTAAAAGCATTGGTCCAACCACTGTTTTTAAACCATTGGCTTGGTTTTTAAACCATTGGCTCATACTAATAGTGAAAATGGACTTCCCTATTAACATTTCTACTTTGGCTCTGTTCAGAGTGAGTAAGAGAAATCTAAAGTGTGATTCATCTTTAGTAAACTTATTTTTCCCATCAGAAAATAAAACCATTTTTTCACCAAAGATCAAATTTTTCCATTTTTTAAATTTATGTTTTGCCATTGCTCTTCATAAAATTCTCTAGCTCTATCATTTTCAAATCCAATCTAGTAACTTGGATTAAAGAACTCTGCCTGCCAAGAGGCTGGTGAGGCAGCACCTGAGCCAGTATAAATTCAAGAGTTCTTTGTCACCCAAGTTCTAATGACTTTGACCTTCTTTGGATTAATTATATTCATGGAATGGAAGCCCATTTCAAAGTCAACCAAAGTACAATATTTTCTGTCCGGAATCATAGGATTCCCCTTCCCATATCACAAAAAAATTTAAAAAGACCTCTTTCTACACATAAAAGTGGGAGGCAGAACACTGTACATTTCATTACAAGCTAAAATATTCCAAAACAGGAAAATGGTGGAAGTTAGGAGGCTCTCAAATTTTATAGCACCTTATGCCCGGGTAGTGGGTTTAAATTATATTGCAGTATTCTCTCCCTTCTTGGGGCATTGCCCAGTTTATCTTTTTTTTTTTTTTTAATTTACTTGAGAGAGGGCGAGAGAGAGAGAGAGCATGAGCACAAAGGGAGAGGGAGAAGCAGACTCCCCACTGAGCAGAAAGCCCAATGTGGGACTTGATCCCAGGACCCTGAGATCATGACCTGAGTTGAAAGCAGATGCTTAACCCACTGAGCCACCCAGGCACCCCCCAGTTTAATCTTTATACATTATTTATAAGGCAATAATAATAGTAGCTGACATTATTTGTCAGGTATGGTACTAGTGCCAGGGACGAGCAGAAAAAACAAAAGACACACTTGGACCATGCCCTGATGGAGATTATACTCTAGGGACAAACAATTATGATCATTACCTCCATTTTATAGTTGAAGAGTAGAGTCTTAGAAAGTCAGTGATTTGCCTAAGGCCAACTAGAAATGGGACTTGAACCAGATCTATTTGATCTGCTTCTAAAACCTAGACTCCTCTAACATCCGAGTAAATCGAAGCACTGAACAAATTGTAAAGGCAGCAGTAAAGCTGTTCTTTAAGGTCCCCAGGCATATGCCAGTTGACCCCAACTGGAGGCAGAAAAATATCCATGGTCATGACAAGATCAGGTCTTACGGGGTCAGGCTTTGCAGGGTATCTTGAGAACTTTGATGCTGTCTTAAAAGACACACTCCAAAATACTTTTCCATGTCAGTGGACCTCCAGGGTAAACACACAGCTGAACCCACAGAGTTCTGGAGCTCTGAGCCCTAAAGTATATAAAGTCGCTGTAAAGGAACTCTCACCATGTCTCCTTCTGTCTTCTGGAACTCTTCCACCAGATGTTGGCCCCCGCCTCAGTACATTGGCAAGAGTCGCATGATTCCCTTCTATTCTCCTCCTCCAGAAGAAGTTTCTTGGGACTCATCCCCATGCCCTCATGAACACCCACACCCCATTTTCACAGTATCATCACTGCTCTGGATGCGCTTTCAGTGTCCACACGGACAACAAAGAGACCAACCAGCCAAACCTGAAATAGAGGGAACAGAGAAGCCCCCTATATGATTTGACTGGAATGATCTGCCAAAGAAGTAACCCTTCATTTCCTGACACATCCTTGGTATGGGAGGACTATTTTATTCTTTTCAAATTATACTGTGAATACTACATTGAATTCCCATCACAAGGAGTAAGGAGAGCGAGACTGTTTGCCTCAAAATGCTTCGAAGGAATTCCATTGGTCAAAATGACTAAATATGACCAGAGTTCTTAAAAAAAAAAAAAAAACAATGTCTATAACTTTCTAAACTAAAACAGTATTAAATAGGAACTAAGTGGCTCATTTCATGAATGAGAGACAGTGTTTTAATGATTGTTCAAAATGTGTAAGTCTCCCTCCCCTCTCCCCCACTCTAACCTATTCCTACCCTAACCCCCATTTAACCAAAAGGAATAAGTTTCTAGCCTTTCTTCTGCATCTAAAGAGTCCTTCCATATCACACTTCACTTGACCACAATGTTCAGGTGAGTGAGAAAGGAGTGAAATAGAAAGCAGATTTCAAGGTTAACAGAATCCACGGCTTTTTTTTTTCTATTGCAACCTCTTAAGTCAATAAATACATGGCAAGTTGGAATTTGGGTCATGGCACGACAAGATAGAGCCTGCCACAGTAATATTCTTTAACTACACTTCAGAGTCTCAAAATAATGTTATGTGGTCTAGTCATTCAAGAAAAATTGGCATGGGAGCTTAGTAAGAGCCCATAAAAGGAGCCCGTGGCCGGCTGAAGACGAGGCGGGTTTTTCCTATCCAGAGCAGTTGTGTTGGGCAGGTGAAGAGCTGCCAGCCGGCTCGCATCTGGATAGGCGTCCGTGTCAGGAGCGGTATGCTGCAAAGTCGCGAGCTGGGGCATAGGGCTGGTAGTGCCTTCGGGCGGGCCCGGGCCTCCGAGGGGTCATGTTCATGTAGTCACTCTGAAGGATCCTGCTCCTCTTACTCTTCATCTGCAGAAAAGAGAAGTGTCACTGTGAAGGGGGTCACGGAACAGAGGGACATATAGTGGGAGGAGTTCTAAGACTTGGGGGAGCAACTACTCAGAACATAGACTGTCAAATGAAGCTGGATACACCTGAATTCATTGAGTACCTTGGACCTGGATAGTGCCTAATTAAACCTAACGACTCGGAACTCTTCTAAATTAACATGCAAAATCTGAATCAAAGACAGTATTTTAGATAATGTACCCATATTACCCTCAATGCAGTCATTTGAGTTCCAAAAGTGTTATCTAATTAACATATCCACTGTTGATATGTAAATACTCTTGAAGGCCCTTCCTCCTTTGAAAAGGTTAGGCATCCCCACTGCAATCTTCTTACATCTGTCATTTGCTTAACAAGCCATTTTTCCATCATTAATCCAAGAGGACTTTCACCCCTCTAGAGTCTGAAATAATCGTAAATTCCTAGCTCTGGAGTCCAAATTAGTGGAGAGGTATACTTCAAGACAACTAGTTACATTCGTATTCTCTGATGTGTACGTACGTTTCCATAAAGACAATAGTGTCACTCAGTCTCTGTTCCTGAGATTCAGCTCCTTCTGGATGAATTTCTATCAGGGGTGAGGGAAGTAGGGACAATACTAAACCCAGAGCAAGAGTTACACGCACCATGAATCTTAGCATAGTTTTGACTGGAGTTTAGGAGCATCTTTCCTGAACCAATGTGATGGTAAATTTTACATGTTTGATAAAAGACCCATAAAAATTCTAAAAAATAGCTACCCAGGTTTCTGAATTCAGAATTCCCTTTATGAAGAAAAAAAAATGTCTATTTCTTGACACTTGGCCTGATGCATAAGTAGATACATGGCATGTGAATGACATGAACCCTTGAACAGGTAAGTGAGCAGGTGACTTTTGCCCTGGCTTTATTTTCATGCACTCCTCCCTGAGCCCTTCACACCTTCCTTGTCAAATGAACATGAGCAAGTGTTAAAGAAAGGCTTGAAAAACACTGGCCTCCACATTACTAAATCCAACTAACATGTTTTCAGTCTTCATCTTTTGAATTCTCGGCAGCATTCTCTATTAATGATTACTCTCGCCTTTTTGAGACACTGTTCCACTTTGCCTTCTGTGAGATGGTACCATACTGGTTTTCATCCTACCTTTCTGGCTGCTCCTTCACTGCCTCCTTTGCAAGCTTACCCTTCTCTAAGTAGCCATTCAGTGTTAGAGCTCCTCACAGGCCTTCTCCTCTATTCACTCCATTCTCTCTAGGCAAACTCATCCCCATTTGCAGCTTCAATTACCACCTATTCACCCAGATTTATACCTCTGGATGAGACCTCAAAGGTACTTCAAACTCAACATGTCCAAAACGAAACTCAGATCCTCCCCTGAAGTCTGGTCCTCTCCCGGTGTGTCTATTTCAGTGAGTGCCACTGCCATATATACAGCTGCCCAAGACTTCCTAAGTCTCCTCCTTGACCCCACCAGCTCCCTTTCCCTTGTCCCAGGGGACATTTGACAATGTCTGAAGGCATTTTGTGTTGTCACAACTGGGAAGAATGTTATGGCATCTAGTGGGTAGAGGCCAGAGATGCTGCTAAACACCCTATGGTGCACAGGGCAGTCCCCATCCACAAAGACCTACCCAGCCCAAAATGTCAATAGTGCCAAGACTGAGAAATCCTGATCTAAGAAGTCTGATCATGAAAAGGAATGGAATGAAAAGGAAGTAATGGATAAAAAATATGGGACCAAATTTAGAATGAATATTGTTGGATTGCTTGACCCTCCCTTCTTGCTCATCCCCAGAGATGACCGATAATTTGAGCCTGGGAGACTGGAAGGAGGCTGTTCCATACATAGATATAAGGCAGGACAGTAGGAGAAGTAGATTTGTAAGAGAAGGTTACAAATTCAGCTTTGGTCATTTGGGATTTGAATGATGGATGGATAATCCAGCTGAAACTAAGAAGAGGACAGCATTAAACAGACATAACTGGGAGATTCATTCAAGAGAGGTAGCCATGGAAACACAGTGGGTGAGGGAAGTTTCTCTTCAAACATCGTGGCTCTACATCCTTTCTATAAATAAGGACTAGAGTTCTCTTGGGCACAGGGTTATGCCAGGGCAGGAGAAACTTCTGCCCCCAAATAAATGTGGAAAGCTGCTGCTGATACCTGGCAAGCATTTTAGTACTTACTCCAGCTCTGAGGACTTCCCTTGCCAGACTCCCAAATGGCAGTCTTTGCCTCCAGACACCGAAATACAACTATAGCTGGTAGAGAAGCCCCAATAATGAAGATGTCTCGGGTCTGAGGCTCTCCGGGTTGCCCAAAGACTCTGAAAGATCTGCTCATTCAGCTCCCATGCTTCCCCTCATGGTGTTTTCAGATGGTGGATTTAGTCCACTAAGCTGTAAACCCAACAGTGGGATGGAAATGACACATGCACGGCTGGGAACACAATCCAGAACCCACAGTGTCCGTGTGCACCTGCCTATGTGTGTGGAGAGGACTCGCCTTATGTGTCTGTGTGACTGGGTCCTCTATTCTGCCCCTTCCCCATTCTGCTATGTCTGCTAAAGATGTGGGATTTCAGGACCACTCCTCTTTTGCCCTTCCTCCACCCCCACCCTCACCCGCCTGTTTCCTGGAAGCAGCAACAAGACACAATTCACTTCAAGGCACAGTCTTCAAGAGCACACTGAATTTAAAGGCAGATACCACCTATCCACACACTGTCCACGTTCCCCACATTGTGACTGATAGTGGAGAAGATCGTGTTTTCGAAAAGGCTCCTTTAGACTAAGAAAGAGAATAGGTTTACCAGCTCAGCTGAGTGAGTGGAGGATTGAGTGACAGTAACAGGTGCTGTTCGGCAGCAGCCTGGCACAGGGGAGCACTTTATTTATTCAAATGCCAGCAACAGGTCAAAAGCTGGGCTAGAATGTGCAGCTGCTCCCAGGAACCCACTCAGCCTACAACCGCCTGTGGTAGCTCATCATAAGCCCTCAGGGAGTTCCGGAGAACAACAGCTCACACCAAGGCATAGTGCTGACCAGCCAAAAATAGGCTCCCGGAATAGGACCCAGGAAATGGCTAACCTCTAGGAATCCCTAATGGCCTGGCTGCCTTGCTCAACAAGGTGCTGGTGGCTTAAACAGTAATAGCAGCAAGAAAAGATGAGCCAAGGGGAAAAATGCGATGTTATCTTATGAAATATAGACATATATTTATTTCACACCCTTTTGGGCAGAGAGTACAAAGACCTAGGTTGAGATGCAAACCAAAGGGTTCTTATTGGACAATCTAATTGACTATAAGAGGCCACAGAAGATAAGATCATGCCAACCACTGGCTCTTCCTAATTCACAGGGAACTTATGAAACAGAGTAAGACCAAAGTTAAGTTTTCTCAAGACAAAGCAAGTGTACTACCAAAGAAAAACCCATGGTATCTATGAGGTTTCCAAGTTGAAAGTGAACTGCTTAAATTCACTGAAAATGAGAAGTGGCTTTTGTTCCTCTGGGTGATTCCCATCACTGAGCAAATTAGTGCCTGATTATAGTAACTGATATTCTAATGTGTATTTACAATAAGTTTTAAATGATGAGCAGTACCCTTCTGGCCACTGAAAGTTAAAGTACTTTTCCCCAAATGAATTCCTGGAAAGCTGGTAAATTACACTGCCCTAAGTCAGCATATTACAAGGGAGCCCCTGTCCTGGAAGTGGACCCATAAAGCCACCACACCTATATTTTAGATTAAGAAGTTGAAATTCCCAAGGGATAAAAATAAGGGCTAAGATTCTAAATTCTAAAATCACTGGCAAACACCACAGAGGTTCAAAGTGGGAAGGTACCTTGTATGAAGACCCCAAGATCCAAAAAGATGAGGGACTCAACTGACATCAGAGGAAGAATTTAAGCAATATTTCTCTACATAAAAGGCTCCCAGGGCTGAGCAACTTGGAAGAGGCAAGACAGGTAAATATCAAGTTGCTATCTAGTATAAAAGATTTCCAGGAATAAACAGCCACTTTGTTCCCTACCCTACAGAAGGGACAGATTAGGCAACAGGCAGCCTAACAAATGTCTATCTGCCCCTAGAGTCTTCCAAAATGTTAGAAGCATGTGGGGAAAGATCGAGAGGCAAACTTTGGAAATAGGCCAACAGAGTTTAAAAGGATCTCAGGCAGGACACCTGGATGCCTCAGTCGGTTAAGCATCGGACTCCTGGTGTCAGTGCAGGTCATGATCTCATGGGTCATGAGATCGAGCCCCATCTCCGGTGCTCAGCAGGGAGTCTGCTTGAGGATTCTCTCCCTCTGCCCCTCCCCGCACTCGCACAGTCACGCTCTTTCTCTCTCAAATAAATAAATCTTCTAAAAAAGTAAAATAAAAGAATCCCAGGCTGGATCTATCATTTACATGACTGTGAACCCAAGGCTGCCCTCCTCACCTCTACCCCCCACCCCAGCACCAGGTCTTTAGTAAATACGACAGTTTCACCTGGTGTGGGTTCCAGAAATCACTGACCCATATATGGCTTAGTTAAATGTGTAGAATATGCCTTAAAGAGCGCCTGGGTGGCTCAGTCAGTTAAGCGGCTGCCTTCGGCTCAGGTCATGATCCCAGGGTCCTGGGATCGAGTCCCACGTCAGGCTCCCTGCTCAGCGGAGAGCCTGCTTCTCCCTCTCCCACTCCCACTGCTTGTGTTCCTGCTCTCGCTGTCTCTCTCTGTCAAATAAATAAAATCTTTAAGAAAAAAAAAAAGAATATGCCTTAAAGATATGTTCATTTAAGTCCTTAGTTTGGCCTTTATGAGGGTTATCAATTCATCAATTTGATAAGCACTCATTAAGAATTAAATATGCTTAATACCAGATGGATGGTGAATATCAAGAGAAATGGTCCTTTATCCTTGAGGAGCATACATTTCTTATTGAAGAAATGACTCATACATGCATCTAACTTATAGTAAAAAATTCAAAGACAGCATGGAATCAATGCAGGAGATATTCTGTCTCACACTGTGTACATGAGAAAGGGAGATTTCTGAGTAAGGGAAAGATCGTTGGCAAGGGAGCACCATCTTAACAGTGGATATGGTCATCAAGATGGTTTCAAAATTTCAACTTTGAAGAAGGTAAAGAAAAATACGCCAGGTTCATGACATGAACATTTGCACAAATTGGTAAACTCTAATTCAGTGCTGAGAGCTCAGAAAAGTCTAACTCCCATTATGGTTTCATAATGACAGCAACCACACTTGGCCTCACAAAATTCAACTGCTTCAGAGGAGATAAAAATATGACTCAGATAAACAGACCTAGTTTCTTTGCTAGGTTTGAATGCATAATTTCAGTAGCCAAATTTCTCACAATTTTTGACCCTGAACCAAAATTGTTCATTGGTTTCAGTGCCTAGATTCCCAAGTTGCTTAGATTTTTATACATATGTATATATTAAAACTATTTTATACATCATTATGATATTGCAAAAGGGGAAGAAGAAAAGTAACTGGCCCTAAGACTCCCACCCCCTACCCCACCCCCAATTTACCCATTTAGCTTCTTATTCTGCCTGGCCACCTAATTAGTGCCGTCTGGAAAATTGAATTCACATTAGATTTTCATCTCAGATAAAGTTGAACAGGCTAAAAGAGAACCTACCCAAACCTAGCAGGGAAATAACAGCAATAATAATAACAACCACATGTTAAACAGAAAATGAACCACATGGGCAAAATTCTTGAACATGTTCAGATTACACGTGCAGTGGAAAAGTTACACAAAAGCAGTGTTGCTTCTCTTACCCAGCAAGCACAAAGAGCCACTGTTACTAGCAAGCTATAGAAAACTAGGACTCCACCGACCACCACCAGTACCCAAAATGGCTTAGAAGATTCAGGAGTCGGCTGCGCTGGACAAAGATGTTTCTCTGAAAAATAGAACAGAGCGGGTTAAACAACATGGAAGTGGCACTTGAGTACATTTCTTTCCTTCTGAACATTGTAGAAGAATGGGAAAGGGATCAAAATATGCAAAATATCACTAGTGTAGAATGTGTAGACTTCCTCTCTGGGATTTATCCAACCCCACCACTGATCATGACCTAGTTTTCAAGACTGCCATTGAAAACCATTACTTTAGAGCAGTGCACTGGTAGAGTTGTGTGTTACCTTTCACATGGATAATGGTCCCATTGCTCTTCTCATTGTCTATGTAAGGAGGTGGATACATGACCTCAATTTTGCAGAAGTAAATATCCGTTTGGTTAACAAACAACTTCCGGAGGTAGAATGTCACTGTTTCGTTGCCCAATTTCCCATCACAATCGAATCCTGTACTTGAGTAGAACTGAGGCTGATGAGAGTAATTTCCATTCACAACACAGACTTCCACAGCACTATCTACTCCCTTATAAAGGGATGCCCGGAACTCCTTTGAGAAGAGGTTGTGGGTATACTTGCAGCTCAGGTTGACCTCATTGTTGTATACCACAAGCCTGGGCAACTGCTTCACCAAAATCTTGTTTTCTGAAGAAGGAAAAATCATTTGCTTAGAACAAGGGCGTGAGGACTTTTTTTCCCTGAAATCAAGACAAATTAATTAACAAAATAAACAGATCTCCAGCAAAGGCTTTCTCTTGGCAGATGAAGATGCAGGAGCTCTTTGGAAGATAATTATACTGAGACTTTAAAAGTTTGCATTTTGATATTATTTTCATCCTCCTTTGAATGAAACGATGGAGCGTGTTTTCACTTGGAGGGCAGAATGTGGCCTTCTGTTGGCACTGAGCACCACAGCTATGCATCTGGAATTTTTGAATCTGTGCTAAGATTCCAAAGATGTTAATCGTGCATAATTGTGTATCTTCTTGATTGAGTGGGATCCTTGGAAATGGCTTTTTAACACCTGACATGGATACACAAATAGATCTGGCTTTAAGTTGTGATACAGGCTTTTGTGAAGGAATTAAAATGTTTTGAAACATTTGGACTTTGTTTGTTGACCATTCCAAGAGTAGGATAAAAAGTAAGAGAAGACATAACCCCAAGAGTTGAACTTACCTTCCATAGCAAATTCTGAGAGGAGCCTTCTCAAGCACTTCACATAATCATTCCCTTAAATCACAGGAGATGGAAGAGGTGTACAAGAGCTTTGCCTCTATTCCATTTCTCTACCTCTATGCTATTCCAGTAAATGATCAAAGAATCTGGAGACCACCTAGTTCAGTTTCTTCACTTTTAAAGCAAAGAACCTGAAGCTAGGTATTATAACCTACACGAGGAAGAGAACACATCTATTCCATCTTGTTTACCACTGTATCCCCATTGCCTAGCACATGACAATATATTCCTTTTTTTAAAATGACCGTATGAGGCCCAGAAATATTAGATGATTTGTCTAAAATCGCTGAATAGATGGTGAGTAAAACTACGACTAAAAACCCAAGTAAACTACAACCACCTGAGAAATAGACCACTTAACCACTAAGAATCAACTTCGCGAATTTCTCTAAATTTTCCTTTACTCTAAAACAATGAATTTCTCGAAAACAATGAATGGCTTTGTGTCTCTGACTCAAAATTTAATACAGACCAAAAAAAAAAATTGCTGTTATTTTGGGTTATGCTAATAATTGTCTACCTATTTGCATTTTTTTAAAAAAAGGTTTTTTGAAGCAACACCCATACTGAAGAGCCAAATAAAATAAAAATCTATTAAAATAAAACCTCCAATTTAACCTGGATTTGCATTCAAGTGTCAGGTGTTTTGTTTTTGCTTTGGGAAAAAGGAAGATGCATAGAACTAAGTTACTAGCAGTTTTTTGTCACCTGCATTGTTCTCAACTCTGGCTGTACATCAAGAACTTAAAAAAAAAAAAAAAAACCTATGTCCAGGTCCCATTTCCAGAAATTCTGATTTAATTAGTCTATGCTGGATTGGAGAAGGGATTTGTATTGTTTCTTCTCATTTTTTTACACAACTTATTGAAATATAATTCATGTGCCATAAAGCCACTCTTTTCTTTTAAGTTCACCCTTTTAAAGTATACAATTCAGTGGTTGGGCTTTATTTTGTTCTCTTTGAGTATAGTTGACACACAATGTACCACATAGGGATTCAACAACTTTATAGTTATGCTATGCTCACCACTGTGTAGCTACCGTCTGTCACCACACAACCATGTTACAATACCATTGACTGTATTCTCTATGCCGTACCATTCATTCCCATGTCTTACTCATTTCACAAGTGGAAGCCGTATCTCCCACCCCCTTTCACCCATCTTGCCCATCCCCCCCACCTTCCTTCCCTCTGGCAGTGGTTTTTTATTAAATTCACAAATTGCAAATGGATGGCCACTCTCCAATTCCAGAATATTGTATTTTTATTGCCCCCAAACAGAAATCCCATACCCATTAGCAACCACTCCTCATTCCTCCTTCCCTCTAGCTCCTGGCAACCACTGAACTGTTTTCTGTCTCTGTGGATTTGTCTCTTCTGGGCATTTCATATAAATGGGCTCATACAATATATGGCCTTTTTTGTCTGGCTTCTTTCACTTAGCATCATGATTTCAAGGTTCATCTCTGTTGTGAAATGTATCAGAACTTCATTCCTTTTCATGGCCAAATAATACCTTGTTGTATGTATATACACATTTTGTTTTTCCATTCATCACTTGCTTTCACTTTTTTGCTATTATGAATACTGCTGCTATGAACATTGATGTGCACATTTTTGTGTGGACATATGTTTTCAGTTCTCTTGGGTGTATACCTGGAGTGGAATTGCTAGGTTATATGGTAACTCAGTTTAACTTTTTGAGGAGCTGACAAACTGTTTTCCAAAGCAACTGCACTATTTTACATTCCTACCAGCAGTGTCTGAGGATTCTGATTTCTCCACCTCCTTGCCAACACTTGTTATTGTTCACTTTTGTTACTATAGCCATTCTGGTGGATATGAAACAGTATCTTATTGTTGTTTGATACGCATTTCTCGAATGACTGATGATGTGGAGCATTTTCTACGTGCTTTTTAAGCATTTGTCTATCCTTTTTAGAGAAATGTGTATTCAGATCATTTGCCCACTTAACTGGGTTGCCTTTTTATTGTTGAATTATCAGAGTTCTTTACATATTTTTGATGCAAGTTTCTTATCAGATATATGATTTGCATATATTTTTCCCATTCTGTGGGTCATCTTTAGTATTGCCATAAAAATTCCCCCCTTTGATTCTAATATTTAGTGAGGGTTGAAAATCACGATCGTGTAACAGATTTCTCAAGCTGACAGCATATTAGAATCAGCTGCAGTTTTTAAAAACCTTTGATTCCTGGGCCAATTTAATCAGAATCTCTGTGTATAGGACCCAGACATCAATATTTTTAGTTTCTCAGGAGATTCTAATTTGCAGTCAAGTTTGAGAACCAGTGATTTAACAATTGAAAACTCATTTCTTATCCTCAATTCCTAGGGCCTCCACAGGTTTTTCCAGCCTCATCTCCTCAAACCCAATCTCCCCAATTAGCCGGACTGTTTTAAGTTAACATCCCAGCATAGTACTGTGTGCGCATTCCTCTTTCCATACTTTGTCAACTAAGTTCATGGCCTAGAGTGTTTCTCCCTTCTCAGGTCTCAAAATGATTACTATCTGTATCACTCATTTGCCATTTGGTCAGGTTCTACATGTGGAACACCTCTTGTTTCATATGCTTCGAGCTCTTGATTTGTGTCTATTTATTTCCTCTGGACTTCCAGTTTCCAGGTCTTCTTTGAGCAAGGACAATCTGCTACGTTTCTTTGTATACTACGGTGTGAACGACAGGATCTCATTAAATAATCAATAAGTGAAAGGTGGTAATCTGACTGTGTCATTGTTATAAGCAGCTAGGTCTGACTACCATCTCATTAAATCCTTATTCAAAATTTGTGTCTCAACAACATTAGCTTAATTTATCATTCATTCAAACACCGCCTAAAAGCACTGAAAAACACATGTAAGGAACCAAAAGTTTCAACCTGTCATGATAGGGAAATTCAACTTGTTTTTTGTTGTATTTCATTTTGCTTGGTTTTATTCTTTGTTTACTTAGAAAGAATCACTGGTCCAGTTCTGATTAAAAGAACCAAACCCAGCAAGAAATGCCAACATCTCCCCCTGCTTTTCAAGGAGTCCAGGTCAGGTATTGGTGTTTCTGCTTACTGAGCCCTCTGGGGATTGTTTCTGTTCCTAATTATTGGGATTCTGTGTTAAGGGGCAGTCAAATTCTTCCTGCTCTGCCTTTAAGAGCTGACATAAGGAAAAAAATGAGCATAGGACTTCTTTGCTAGAGCAATAAAAGGGAGCATAAACAGGAAAACCAAGGAAAGCTGGAGAGAAACCCTGGATGGTGACCAGGTTTGGCTTCCTTTTCCCAGCACCCACAGTGAGGTGGAGAGAGGGGGAAAAGAGACGGAAGAAGGAAAAGAAGCTCTAGCATCTATACTCCAGTAGTTTGCTGACTGTCTGATATCACTCAGAATGTGACACCCTCCCAAGATGCACACAGAAGAGAAAAAATCTATTTCCCAAAGATGAACAGGGCTCAGTTTCTATCCTTGGGCAGCTTCCAGTTTGGTGGGAAAGAAAGATACATAAACAGCTGCTTTTAAAATAGTGGCACAGTGATCTGCACAGCATTTCTGCAGGCAACTGGAGAACCAGCTAAGGATTTCTGAAAGTGACTGCGGACCTGAGTGTGGAAGTATGCATACATGTATTCAACAAGTTTATTAAGTAAAAGCCTCGCAAGATGAGTCTTTGTGTCAGGGGGTGAAGTGAAGTAGGAGAGTGTGTGGTGGAGAAAAGGGTGTGAGGTAGTGGCCTACGGGGAACACAAGACAAAGAGAAAAAAAGAAGATTCTATGCAGAGGACATAAGGAGGTAAAAAAGTATGGCAGATGTGGGGAATTACAGCTGTCTCCGTTTTGCTGGTACATGACTTGTAAAAGGCAAGACTGGCAAAACAAGCATGGTTCACAGCTTGGGCTCTCCTGCTGGAGATGAGCACCTATTGAAGTATCTTAAGCAGACAGGTGATTTCATTTTATGTATACCACTTTAGTAAAAAGGTGGAGGGTAAATTTAAAGGGCACGAGGATGTAAGCAGGGAGACCAGTTAGTATCCAGTCGTAGTAGCCTAGGCAAGAGGTGATAAGGGTCTGAACTAGGATTACAGAGAAGTAGATGAGCTCAAGAAATAGTTACAGGTTAAAACTGGCAGAACTCAGCATTGGCTTAGATGTGGTGAGGGAGGGAGAAGGAGTTAAAAATGATTATCCTCAGGCCATACACACCAACCAGTAAGTAATCCTGTTTTTCTTTTGCCTACTTCTCTTCTTCACTCATTATGAGAAACTGAGGTGACGTTTAGACATCTGGGCTATGAAAAAGACATTCTTCCAGCCTAAGAGACCACTGCAAAGAGAATACGAGTTACCTCAAAAGTTCCTGGGAACACAGTTGACTCCTTGGAGCTTAGTTCACTGTTTTCTGTTCTCA